ATTTACCTGTATCCTGATGCGAGAAGACCAATCTCTTCCACAGTTGTTAACAATTCTGAAATAATCCTACCATGATCCTTCGGTTGCTTTCACCAGGCTTTCATTCATCAGCGTTCAGCCGGAGCGGAGCAGAGCAGAGAGCAGAGCAGAGCGATATCTTCACGTGTCGCAGGTCCACGTCATTCATTCATTGAAGCTGAGTTTTTCAACATTTTTGTAGTGGCCATCGAACCACAAAAAAGGCCACTAATGGGAATCAGAAGTCATTTCCAACGCGTGGTGTAGCCAAAAACGAGGTCTGCCATGACGTACCATTCAATACTTTATTAAGTTTTGCAAAGATTAAAAACCATCTACAAAAACGGGTGTACTCGTTTAAAAACCGAGCTAGTGTAAAACATACAAATTAACTCTATTACACATACAGACCCACACGCACGGTTGAAAAACTGTATGGCTTACCCTGAACTAATTTTCCATCAGTAGATCACCTGTGACTCCCATATATAGGTCAAGTGATTATTTACCTGCCAATCACCAGGTGAAATGATGACATTCACACAACCTATCCCACTCCCATACACACACACACACACACACACACACACACACACCATGCACAACACACAACACAATTAGCCACAACAGAAACTTTTACATAGTGATGAGGTGTGGTTGACTCCTGTTGCTAAGTGTGATGCATTCTTTTAACAGATGTGATTGGTTGTCACACACATGCCCGTTATTGAGCCTGCAAGGTGTGGACACCCAGTGGAAATGAGATGACCTTCTGACTGTGAAAGTGTTGTCATGGTTACAGTGGTCACTCTGCTGATGGAAGGTCGAGACAGACTCAAGTCATCACTGCTGCACTGTTGCTTTTTTTCCAGTTTTCCAAATATCTTATTGTTGTGATCATGTTATTTCTGGTGTTATAGCAGTCAGGTGGGAAATGAGTGTGTATCTCTGATGAGATCAACCACACACATTATCTCTGCACGATCTAATCTGTAACATTTCATTTACTCACTGTCATCCAGCGTTTGGAGAATATTTCTTCAACCTCTTTGTGTTTCCATCATTTTCTCCTCTGCTTAAGAAACTCTTAACCCTCTTTAAGGTCTGAGATGCTCATTGAATAACTTTTAATTTTACAAGGACCTAGTCTTAACTTTAAGGGCAAATTCTAAGGAAGTGTCACATTTCTAAGAATTTTCTCAGAATCACTAGGAGCAACTCTTAGCACTAGGAGGCTTTGTGAATATGGCCCCAGGTTGTTAGCACCTGGAGAGAAAACAGGGGAGGAAGAGAACAAAACACAGAAGGCAAAAAGGTATAAACACTTTCGCCTTTAGACACTGTTAGACGACACATTGTTCACATTGTTCTAACCACATACTGAACCTTTGCGTCTGCAGCAGCTCTGACCCGTCCTACTTTGAAATCAACCAAGCATTCGAGCCCTTTGTGAACACTTTCCATCAGCCCACAAGTCTGCAGAGTTGGCCCGATGGAATAACACTCAAACCAAAACTCTGTGACGTGTGTGTTTAAAAACAGAAACATAAACAAAATATGAAAGATATTGGAAAGACAAAAGTTTCCATTCTGTCTCTGTTATTCTGTTGCTGTGTCCTAATACCAAACATGACTGTATACAGGATACATCACAGCACTACAGCTGTAGCTACAGTCAGATCACTGTTCAATCACAGTACAAGTGTACAAAGGGAGTTCACCCAGTATGGCTTTATAAATGAACAAATACCAGTGACTGAGTCTATGACAGGTCAAAGATGGCCAGCCAGCCCTGGAATAAAGTGTACAGTGAGTTTAAAGCCCCGTTTCCACCACTTTCCACTTTCAGTATGGTACCTTTGGAACCAACAGTAACCCTTCAGACATGGTACCTAGACCCTAGTGTTTCCACCGCAAACAGTACTCTTAAATGTGGGCGGGGTTGTTGTCACTCACTGCTCCATCCAGCACTCATGTATTTCCTCATTACTGGTGACACAGATGGAAGTCTGCACCTCGTTTATCATCCACAGAACGAGGCTGCAGGCTGCAGTGAGAGTCTCTCTCCTTCGGATATTTAAAATAGCAGGTTTGTGCATGTAGTCCTTCTCAGGCAAGCTCAGGGGTTTAGTGTTGCCGTAGCCCGACGCTCTGCAACGCTTTTGTTTTTTCTCTAACAGTGGTTACATGAGCCTCAAAACCAGACACAACTCAGCCCTGAGCAGAGTGACCGTCCTCTACTGACCAATCAGACTGCAGTGTTCACAGCTCCACCTTTTAGTACCAGATCTGTGTGCTAGGTACCCCAACAGAGGGGGGACCAAACATGGGGATGGTACAGAACGGCTCCATTGGTACCATCCACAACTTTTCACAGTGGAAACAAAAAAGAGCGTACCGAAGTGAACCGCACTGCTCGGTGGAAACAGGGCTTAAATGCTATGAAGGCTTAAAGTTGGGCATAATTAAGAGGAGTGACAGGCTGTCTGCTGATAGCGTCCTCGGCTCCTCAGTCAGATCCACCCTTTGCTCCTCCACAGTGCCAGCCTCTCACCCAACTATGGTCGCTTCTGGCTCCAAAAAACACAAATCTTGAAATGCTGAACCCGAGGCTTCAAAACGGGAGTCCAGGAATCAGTAGGCGACATCACAGTAGCTACGTCCATTATTTTTGCAGTTTATGCTGCAGCCACATATGCTCATGCATGTTCACCTTACTGCTGGGGTCGGGTACTGTTCACATTTAAATCAATACCTGCACTGGTGCCAATGCCTTGAATTCGTTACAGGCACCCTACGGTACTTTTTTCGATATTTAACTTTTTTCTGTACGCTAATAACAAAAATGTAGTTTTAGAACAAGCTTCAGTCAACTAGCAGTTCTGTTCCTCTGTTTCTTCTCTTATCACACACAGAGCTGTCTGTCAGTGTGCTTGATTGTGTGCGTATGTAGGGGGGGTTGTATGTCTACTTGTGTCTCTTGAGCTCTGTTGAGACACAACTGACAAATATGTGGGTACAATAAATACATTAATTAAAAACACAATCACAAAGAGCAGTGATATAAGGCTGTATCTGAAATGAAAAAGAAAAGAAGACCACATAGACTGAAGCCATCAGCGCTACTGTGATAGTTGCATTGGGCCGACTCTGTCTACATATAATGTGCATAATGTGGTCAGCACAGGCATCAATCACATCACTAATGTCAGTAAAGTCTCACTAAAGTGCAAACATTGGAGAATAAAGTGTGAGCTGCAGTTGATTTAAACAGAATTATTTCACCCTTTGATGTTTGCTTATTAACAACCAAAGACTGCGTGCGACATTAGAAATAATAACCCAGTTATGATGATTATTTGAGGTTCGACTATATTGAATATTATAAAATCTTCTGAAGCAAAGTAAAAGTGTGCGAAATTTACACTTTATGCTGAAGCCGTAGGAGCCAGCCAAGTGGCAGTAGTAGTATTTTTTTTTAACTCTACAAATCTGCCCCTCTGCATGACGTAAAGAAAAGCTCCAAAAATATTCCTTCACACGCAACCCAGCACGACCTCACTGGTTCTTCAGTGTGTGATGTAACAACTTCCTTTCAGTAGCAAGTTGCCGTTTCCTGTGTGAATTGAAAGGAAGTGCAGATCACTTTTTTAGAAGTTTCTGCTTTTTAGGTAGCGATCTCAGTATCAAGACCTGTGATGTGAGAAAGGTGTGGTTGTGCTGTTTGACAGAGATGAAACATCAGGTTGCAGGTCTTGTGGCCCGAGTCTTTCAGTCGTGAGTGATGAAGAATGAACACATTTTTAATTGTTGTTGACTAAACTCAGCAGTCATTTTTGAGACTATAGTTAGTTGTAGTTTTGTGTTCGACAGAACAGAAGATCAGCTTTTTATGAGCTAAAAGAATATATATATGGAATTTCAGATAATCCAGTAGGTATTTAAATGGGTCATAAAGGTTAAGAGTAAAGTAAATTCATGAAATATTCAAAACTTCATCTTCTACATTGTTTGGGTTAAACATGAGCATGTTACAGTCCTGGAGGATTATTAATGTGCACCTCCTCCTGTACTGCCTTAATATGCACATTCAGCACATTGAATGCATCAAAACATTGTTTTCTAGTTGGAGCCGCGCCTCGTTTTCAAACTGTATGGTTTGACTAAAATGAACAATAACAGCAATATAGTCCACGATGAGCAGCGCTAAAATCAACCTGCGTAGTTGTCCCTCCATTGTGACATTAGAAAGTGTCACATTTATCTTGCAAGTGTACTCTTCTTCAACGTTTGCTTTACTTCCTGGATTTTTCCCACATGGAAATTCTGACCAATCAAGAGCAGCTTTCTCACACAAGGCATTTGATCTGGTCCGCTTGTAAATGCTGCCATGAGAACATGAACCAACTCTAGGCAATTATACAGCTTGTAACAAAATTAGTCCCTGATTCGGACCAAAGCAAGACAACTCTAGGTCTGAAAGCACCCTTAAATGATCAGGTGTTCATAAGAGTAGGCTGTCATTTGACATCTTTAATTCTCAAAACAATTACTTTCTTACATTGAGGAATATAACTAAACAAGTTTTTCTACAAAGTCTAATTTGACAGAATAAGTTTTTGGCTGTTGTTTCCAAACCCAGTGTTTCACTGTAGCACCACCTTCCATCTTCAACATCTGGGTCAAAGAGAACTCATAGCTTTATGCCAACACAGCATCCTAACATGCTCGCAGTGGCTACGTTTACACGCACAAAATATCATGTTTTTTACACATATTCTGAAAGAAGTACGGCTGTCAGTATTACTGTGTTAATCGCAATGCAATTAAGGTCCAAACATAATACATTCATTTTTTTATTTTATTGCGTTAATTGCTATTTTCGCCGCCACTAAGTTTTGTGCAACTAAAATACTATCAACATGTGCTCAATTTCAGATTTTAACTTCTAATTTGAACTGTATTGACCTCTTATTTTGCAGACATGCAGACTGAGTGTGAGGCAAAAACTGCTAATCCACAGACGAACAAATTGATGGCGACAGAGCATGAGGACGAACACGCTGCCCATCTGAAGAGGAGAGGGGGGTAATGATTTTTACCTCCTGATAAAATAATTAAATACACATACAGATGTTTTTTGGTAAGTTGACACCAGCATGATTGATTCTCCCTGGAAAGGGAGGGCAACTAGAGACCTAAATCAGTGAATGAACCAGATTCTGTGTTTGCAGCTTTATCCTCTTCTTGAAAATGATTCTTTGAACATCTGGTGCTCAGACAGAACAAAGACACCTGACATCGACTGAGATTTTCTGTTTCAAATTCTTTATTTTTGACCCCAGGGAAAGAAACGGATACCACCTGCCTGAGAGTGAGGAAGAGGAGGTGGTTGTGAAGAAACCTTGTGTGACCCATCCCTCTGCACCGAAAATAACTGCTCCAAAACACAGTCTGGCAGATGTCAGCTCCCCACAGACACACAGGCAGAGCTTAAATGGCTCCCTAACTTCAAACTTCAGTGCTCAAGACCCTCTGACGTGTCAGCAGCAGACTTACATCCCTGTGTCGGCTCCACAACCAACATGTGATCGTAAGAGTTAAAAATGTCTTCCTATTTTTTTTTTTTACAATGATAGAATAAATTGAAATGTGTGTGTGCCCAGAACATAATATGTCAGACAATGACCTTTGATATATAGATATATGATATATAGAGTTTCCAGAGTCCAACATACACTGATTAGCCAAAACATTTAAACTAGTGGGTGAAGTGAGTAACACTGATCATTTTGTTACAGTGCAATGGTCTGCTGGGAGACCTTTGGTTATGGCATTCATGTGGATGCCACTTGACGCCCTCCACCCACAACAGTACTCCCCAGTAGCATTGGACTTGTCTCTGACATGTCAAGGCATGGACACATGACCTTTGGAAGGTGTGGTGTCTGGTACCAGGGTGCTGGCTTGGGTCAGTTGAGACCTGTCAGTTGTGAGGTGGAGTACCAGCACTTTCCAATCGGGCCATTCCTGAGCAGTTTTTGTGGTGTGGCATGGCTCATTTTTCTGCTGGGGGGGGTCAGAACATTGCACTGTAACAAGATGATCAATGTTACTCACTTCACCCACCTCTGGTTTTAATGTTTTGGCTGTTATATAGTAACATTGATCAGACACAAGTCACAGGATGGTTGTCTACTGCCACCCGCCAGTCACAGCTGGCACTGCTTCCTGCTGTATACCTCATGAATCTGAAGACTGACAGACAGGAAGACACGCACAAACACAGTTGGTGCTAAACCACAGGCCATAGCAGCTACATGGGGAATAAATGTTAGACAGTCCAGGAGGCTGCAAATAAATGATATATAAAGTTTTGTTTCTAACAAGGGTAAAGTGTTCTGCATGAATTCAACATAATGTACTGAATAATAATTAATACACAAATAATCATTTGGTGGATGAAGTATTCCTTTAAGATGTTTCTTTCCCTTTTAAAAGCAATACTTCTAGAGGTCCTCGTTTCACTGGAGACCATCAAACAACAGAACACCACCGTTCTTCAAATACTGCAGTCGGGACACTCGTCTGCAGCGCCGCTCTGTGAACCTCCAGATGTCGGGACACTTCCCCTTCCACTGCAGTCTGTACAGGACTTAAGAAGTTTGGAGCAAAGGCTTTCCACTGAGCCAGAGCTGAAGAATAAAATGGTAAGAGATGTTTCTATGAAGCTCAGCATGCCATAAGGATCATCACTCTTTACATCTGCTCATTGTCTCAGACTCATGTTTACCTGTGATGACTGTAATTATTTCTTCACGCTGCTCACTGCTTGTGAGAAGTGAGAGCATCAATAAATCATAGAGGCCTCCTGTTGTTTTATTAATAAACGAGTGGGCAGGTCAAAGAAATAGATAATTAACATGTTTTCACTGCACAGTTTGTCATTTTCACACTTTGGGTTTTGCACAGTAAACAAACAAGATATAGCCTGGTAATTTGTGAGCTTTAGAGGTGCTGTCTTTACATTTGGACAGATCCAGACTAGCTGTTTCCCCGTTTGCAGTCTTAAGCAGATGATCTAGAAGATGCTCTACACAGAGCCGACTCCATAGCCTACACACATGGCCTGCGCCGTTGTGAGGAATTATTCTTGTGTGGTGGTCTGTCTCACTCTGCAGTTACACCTCCAAAACACTAGTCAGCAGCAAGGATTCTGTGATGTGCTGTAAAGTGTAGTTGATTCAAAACACACATTAAACACACATTAAACATGGCTTAATAGAGACAATTTCAAACACAAGTACACAAATCAGCTTCACAATAACTCGCAGCATTCACAGACAAGCACTTGTCTGACTGGACACATTTTCCCCACAAATACAACATGCTAACATTTTTAGCACAAGCCTATGGCATTTTACATTGTATAAATTAGCCTAGCAGCTAGCTGACTTTTCCTCTACTCGTATGAAGCCAGGGACAACAGCAACATTTAACAAAAAAATTTAACTCACAAGGTTCACCGACAAAACAACTGTCTTATACTGAACAAGTTTTCCAAACATGCTAATGTTATTAGCACAAGCCTATGGCATTTAACATTGTATAAATTAGCCTAGCGACGAGCGGAGATTTCCTCTGCTCATATGAAGCCAGAATAAATCACACACAAGACTTAAAATGCCATTTTGTGGAGGTTTTATTGTCTTCACAATTTATTGTTTCTTGTCTGTGAAATTAAAGTAAATAAAAGATTTGTTTCCACTGAGGGAAATGGTTTCAGCTTATAAAAATAGACAGGAGGTCTGCGTCGCAGTACTAAGCTTCGTATTTAATGCTCAGCAAAAATTTCATAAAGCCACTGTTTATATTTGCTGCAGCATCAAAAGTTGCAAGATATATTTTCAAGCAGGGTCCAAAATTAACACTAGCCATTAGCCAAATGCTAGTAAAATAAGCAAGTGGCCAGTAACCTTGCTTCACTCACCAGCCAAAAAAAACAATGGTAATCTATTGAGTGGCTGGTAAAGTTTTAACATTCGCTAGCCATTTGGCCAGTGAGTCAAAAAGTTAATTTTGGACACTGTTTTCAAGTATTTAGATCAGTGAGGTTTTATTTCTGTCGTTGAAATATTCAGAGTTGAATCACTGATTTCAAAAGTTCAGAGCTTTTAAAATTCCCCCGAAGACATTTATCCTCAGTTATTTTGGAAATAATTTATAATTTCTACAACATTTCACTTTGCAGACCTCCTACCTCAGTCTGGCTGGAGGGATGACGACTAAAGAGAGTGTGTGGAGGATAATGGCCAAGCTTTTTACCAACACGTTGGCCATAAACATAAACTGGAGGGGAAGAAATAACAAACAGAAAATGGAGAACCTTACCATCAAAAGAGTTATCCTCAGTGAGTATGTTGTGACATGTTACTGATAATCTGGTAAGAATAGTTTCTTTAAAGGTCTAGTGTGCAGGATTTAGAGGCATCTAGAGCTGTGGTTCCCAACTGGTCCACACACGGGGTGCAAATTGCTCCTTAGTCATTAGGTCACGGTCCACACAGTTAAATATGTTCAGCGCATACTTGTGGCCATATTGTCAAGCTAGTTTGCTGTCTCTGTTTGTGGCACTTCGCGCTCTGTCACTGTTGTAAATGATGAATTTAAAAACTTTGATGTTTTTATCTTAATCATGGTATTTTAAAAATGGACACATTGGAAAGTGTAGATTATGAGGTTACTGTCTAATTTTTTATGCTTGTATGATAAAAACTTCTGGCGACATTAATCCAAATAAATGTTAAATGTTCTAAATAAATATTTATCTAAATCCTGCCGAGCTCCGCATTGAAGACCCCCCCCCACCTTTCACTCCCAGCAAGTAGTGTGCAAAGAATTGTGGGTACTTTATATCTGCTAAGGATACGCACATGCATCCTTTAAAATTCTCTGAATAAAGGACTCAGTCCTCATTAGAATTTGAAGGATCCTTGACATTGGAACAGTCCTTTGGCGGGGTTCAATGACGTAGCCTCCTTGAAATTCGACTATGGATCCTTCCTTGACTTTGAGAAACACCCTGTGAAAGAGGATCCGCTCCTTATATGAACAACTCATTCTAAGGTGATGAAGCACAGCGATTTTCTCTACTCATTTTCTGGCAATTATACACTAGAGAATACATACTTATTACACTATATTCAATTTCTGCCAGTATATCCCCCTAAATCCTTCACACTGGACCTTTAAATCTTGCAAAAAAAAAGAGTTATATTTGTTACGCAGGTTGCAACACACCAATGGCTATTTCAGACTATAATACCAAGGTAGCCATGATGCCGAACTAAATATAGGATGACACTTAACTGCTGATGAGTTAATGAGCTTACCCTGTATTCACTCCACTCCTGCAGATGCAGTCAGGCAGAATTCGTTCTGCAAGGATGCCGTTGATGAGGAGATAGAGAGCTACATGAAGCGCTGGCTGCAGCTGGCAGCAGACCGAGACGGAGGACGGAAAAGAAGGCAAGAAAAGGGCAAGGAGGCAAACAGCATGCAAGATTACTGTGTGGACGAGATGTTCACTCATGAGATGGAGTAGTGTAACCTACGTCTGCAACAGTGGCATGCAAAAGTTTGGGCACCCCTGATCAAAATCTCAATTGAGTACTTAAGTAAGTAGAAGATAAACTGAACTCCAAAAGGCATGAAGTTAAAGATGACACATTTCCTCAGTATTTTAAGCAAGATGAACTTTTAATTTCAATCTTTTAAATTTTCAAAATAACGAAAAAGGAAAAGGGCCTGAGGCAAAGGTTTGGGCACCCTGCATGGTCAGGACTTGGTAGCGCCTAGGCTTCTAAATGCTTGTTGTATTTTCAGTTCTTGTTTGGAGGATTTTCACCCATTCTTCCTGCAAAAGACCTCTAGCTCTGTGAAATTCATGGGTCGTCTTACATGCACTGCTCTTTGAGGTCTCTCCACAGATTTTTAATGATGTTTAGGTTGGGGGACTATGAGGACCTCAGCAAAACCTTCAGCTTGCTCCTCTTGAGGTAGTCCATTGTGGATTTGGAGGTGTGTTTAGGATCATTGTCCTGTTGTAGAAGCCATCCTGGAATTTAACTGAATCCATTCTTCCCTCTACCTGTGACATGTACAGCGTGCCATTGGATGCAACACAAGCCCAAAGCATGATCGATCCACCTCCAGTGTTGAACAGGTGTTCTTCTTTGCTCATTGCATCCTTAAAGTTCTGTTTTAACTTCATCAGTCCACAGGACTTGTTTCCAAAAAACATCAGGCTTGGTAAGATGTTCCTTTGCAAACTTCTCACACTGAATTTTGGGGTGAGAATGCAGGAAAGGTTTTCTTCTGATGACTCTTCCATGAAGGTCATATTTGTAGAGGTGTTGCTGTACAGTTGAACAGTGCACCACCACTCCAGAGTCTGATAAATCTTCCTGCAGGTCTTTTGCAGTCAAACCAAAGTTTTTAATTGCCTTTCTAACAATCCTACGAGCAGCTCTCTTGGAAAGTGTTCTTGTTCTTCCAGACCCCAACTTGACCTCCACAGTTCCTGTTAATTGTCAATTCTTAATGACATGACAAACTGAGGAGGCAGCTTCCTGAAAACACTTTGCTATCTTCTTGTAGTGGACATCAGTTCTTTTAGTTTTCAGAGTGCTAGGCAGCTGTTTAGATGAACCCATAGCTGCTGGTTGTTGGGACAAGGTTTCAGGAGTCAGAGTATTTATAAAGCTTTGAAATTTGCACGATGACTGTGAACAAGCCACAGTCCTAACAAGCTAATTATGTTCTGAGACCCTGTAAAAGTTGTCTGAGAGCTCAAATGTCTTGGGATGCCCAAACCTTTTGCATGGTGCTCCTTTACTTTTTTCACTCTAAAATTGAAGACAAAAATAATACACTGATCTTGCTTAAAATGTTGAAAAGCATGTTTAATCTTTAACCTCATGCCTCTTGGACATCAGTTCATCTTCTACTTACTTAACTACTCACAGTAAACTAAATTTTGACCAGGGGTGCCCAAACTTTTGCATGCCACTGTACATCATACAAATAACAACACTTATTTTGACCCTTGCTCATGAACACACAGTGCCTGGTTGCAAAAAAAAATCATTTGTCCACATGACTGATTTCACTTCTATCATCTCATGTTTAACTGTCATAGGATCTAAAGTTATCATAGTAACAGAGTACACTAATAAACAGTTTAACATGTCTGTTGCCACATGTAAATGCATGCATACACACACAAAACTACACACACTCTTCCCTTTATCTGTTTAGTGTCTTGTAGGTAAGGTAGGATCTGATAGACACAAACAAAAAAGTAAAGCTCTTTTTTAAAATCAAATCAAATAGAAGAGTTATACCTTTACTATTATTGTTGTCATTGCTCTCTAGGGTTCAATATTAATTGCACTTATGCTTTAATTTTAAATCTTATGTTGATATCAGTTTATAATGTTGTTGTTGATCATATTTATTTCGACTCCAGAGAATGTGTTTGTTGTAGTCATTATTAGCAGGCCTTATAGCATTAGCATTTAGCAACTTTTCATATTAAATGTACATAGCTGTGTGTTTCTTACAGGAAATGTATTGCAGAAAACCAGTTTTAGCTACTGTTAAATTTGTGATACCAATAAAATCACATCTTTTTTGTTAATTATCCATTCTTATCTTTTTCTATATGTATAGTATGTTGTGGGAAAAAGTAAAAGTGTCACACATCGCTCTGCCACGCCAACATCCAGGCAAAAACTGACAGGCTCAACGACTTTGCTAGACAGACTGGACTCAATATCAACACCTTCAAAACAGAAGTGATGTGTGTTCCCTTCATTTTTAAGAGAGTTTCTGAGTTTTAAACACTTATTTAGTGGGTGAGTAGCCAAGCAGCAGAGTTCTGGATATACTGGACCTTATTGAGGGTTTTTGAAGATGAGCTATAGAGTTGATTGTTGCAGTAGTTCAGACGGGAGGTGATGAAGGGGTTGATGAGGATTTCTGCAGCTGAGGAGGTGAGGGATAGACGGAGGCGAGCGATGTTCGGGAGGTGAAAGAAGGCTGTTTAGGTGATGTGTTTAATGTGCTGGTCGAAGGAGAGGGATTGGTCAAAAGTGACGCCAAGATTTTGGATGTGAGGGGAGGTTGATACTGTTGAGCCCTCGATGCTGAGGGTAAAGTTATGGGTGGATTTGGTCAGTGCTTTTGGTCCAATGATGATAATTTCAGATTTTATTTCAGTGATGCCGGTTGTCAGGGTTGAGTGGGTGGCAGTGGAGATTGTCTTGGTGGAGAGGAGCTGGATATCATCGGTGAAGCAGTGGAAATTATGTGACCAAGGGGGAACAGGTACAGAATGAAGAGAAGGGGACCGAGAACTGAACCTTGGGGGACACCTTGGGTGATCAATAGATAAATAATTTCACTTTAACCAAAGCAACACATTTGCAAAAGTAATTTCCAAGTCTTTTAAAGAGAAAAGCAAACCTTTGTTATCCCATACATCTCAAAAAGCATCCAAATCCTCCATTTTGACATAATATTTGTATTCTAATAGTACTCATGCTCTAATTAGACTCTTGAAGGCAAGTAAAGAATCACACCTTTGCCCTTTTTCCATTTTCTCTTTCCTACGTAAATAAATTGCCAGCTTTGCTTGACCCAAAAGAAAGTTCAGCAGTTGGCCCTTTTTCTGCTCCTTTATACCATAGCAAAGAAAATTTTACCATAGCAAGTCAAATTGCTTGTGTGGGTACAAATTTAGTTGACCATTAAATCTGATCCTGGCTCTGTCGGGCCTGTAATGTCAGTGCAAGCATTTGAACACCGGGTGGCGCTGTGGCCGCCAAACCAACATCCACTGTCAAGCGCCTTCGCCGTAGAAGAAGAAGAAGAAGCAGGAAGCAGACCTGCATCTTCAGTATAGTCGCTTCGACGTTAGGTGAAGTCGAGTATATCTAACTCAGTGTTGTTAGTGCCTGTTTTACATGTCAGAAAAGCCTCAGGTTCGTATGTTAAATGTGACTTCATTGTTTTTAAGGACCGTGTATGCGCGGCTGGAGTCTGTTTGCCGCAGCGTCTGTTAGCTTAGCATCCCCGTAGCTAGCATCTAGCCTGCTAACATCAAACCTGTTTTGATTTTGACGATGAATTTGGTGAAAAACAGAACTTTGCACCCGCATCTGCGGGACGAGGAGGCTCTCGTGGTGGAAAACGCCATCCGGCTGGCGATAGACTCGATCATAAACGTGCTGTACGGTGTCAACAGTGCCAGGACTCATGAGTACCAACGGATGGTGGCCGACAGGGACAAAGAGATCCAGCGGCTGGAGGGCAGGCTGACGGAGATAGAGCACGAGCTGCAGGTGCTGCGCCGACAGGGATGCACCTGCGGGCTGTTTGGGAAGGAGCACAGCCTGGTGGGGTCACAGATATCCGGTGACCCGCAGGAGGGAGAGCAGTGCGGGTTTGACACTGAGATGACAGCAGGGCAGCAGGAGTGTGAGATGAGCATCTCTTGTAAGTAAACATCAGTATGATGAAGACTACAGGAGCAACAGCACACACTCTATGCTGTGGCTTCACGAGCCTCATGTCATTTTAATTAGGGATGCACGATATTGGATTTTGTTTTGCCGATATCCCGATATGTAACAACTCATTTGACCAATAACTGATACCGATATCGAAATAGGGCTGGGTGATATGGCTGAAAAATGTATCACGATATAAGTGTTTCATATCAGTTGATATTGATAATTATTGAATTTTTTAAAACCTATTTGAAATAAGGACCAGAAGAAAAAAATGTTAAATTTAAACACTTTTATTTTAAATGTAACCTTTCCTCAGTAATGAACAAATGAACACAGGGGAAAAAGAGGTCAACATAACCATGAAAAACAGTCAAATAAATAAGTATACTGGTTAATTATAAAATCCGAAGTACTGCCAAACCTGCGAACTGACCTTTCCTAGACAGAGTCTACTGTATATTAACACTTAAAATAACGTGTGCAGATGTGAAGCCCTGGCTGTATCTGGCTGAGCCTTAATGAAAGCTGTTGTCTTGTATTTTTTTTTCCTCTGAAAATATTAACCTTATAGTCAAACACTGTTTATTTAGCCTGTGTAGTTGAGGGGACAGGTCAAACTGATATGATGCTGATTTACAGGAGAATTCATGTCAAATGGAGGATAAACCATGAACATAAACTACAGATCACCTGTAAAGCATTTTAATAAATTAATCTATCATAATTAAAACAACTGGAGACTGAAAACAAACTGACATATGGGTCTGATCACTTTTTTAATGAATTGACATCATTCCAGACAGGATGTAAGCGTGTCTGTGACTTCCTGTACGGACTGAAGGCTGCTGGAAACTGTCGGGAAACTGTCCGACTTCACCGCGGCTTTTTGTCACCGCCCCCCGCTGCGGCCGCCTGCTCTCGTCTACTTTCCAGGCAAAGCGCAGTTCATCTCGAACGAGCCTATTTTCTCCTTTCACTGTTTTGTTATGAGTTGCAGACACGAGGCATGAAGGAGTAACCAAACATGAAACTGCTAATGTGCGTCTCACTTAACAGGTTATTGGAACGTTACGTACGTTACAAGCAGTGAATGAGTGAGTTTGTTCATACAACCAAACTTGCTTAGCTGGGCCTGTTTTATCGAACGTATTTTCTATTGATATCGATCACGTGTCTATCGCGATAGATATCGCTATCGTTTTATCGCCCAGCCCTATATCGAAATATACACTTTTTCTCGTCTTAATTTTAGGGATCATCAGGTTTCTTCTGTCATGGGATTAACATCATATTATGCATGCATACTCTTATTGTGATGGCCCACTATCACACGGAGACATGGAATACAATACTTATCATTGTCTGTAATATTCATTCATTGTGCAAATTAAGAAAAAGCATGTTGGCCAATTCTGATAGTTCATTTTAAAGCTGATATTGGTCAATAACATGCTGATATTATTGTGCATCCCTAATTTTAACCCTTGGTTGTTATTTAAGCAATTATTATTTTTTAATGTTAGTACACATAAAACTACTAGAGAACGAGGTAAACATGTAATTTATTAGATTAACATTTTCACTTTTTTATATACAACAAATCAACATGACCCGCCCACCCATCCTACCTGTCTAAACATGGAGTACATTCACCTCTAAGAGCATAACTAAAGACATAATTCTGTACATGCATACACGCTTGCACCAATCTACAGGGTAAATACAAAATAAATATTGTACTATACACACATTTTAAGCATATACCAGAAAACATTTTTGGAATTTGAAATGGCATGTAAATAGAAACAGCATGCAAACTACCTGTTGAAAATACAAATTGACAAAACTGATAAAGATCAAAACCAGCTGTGTTAACAGTAAAAGCACGAAATGTAATCTATTACTTCCACCCCTAAGAATTACGTCTTTGTCTCTTTTCTCCACAGTGGGCCTTTTTGCAAGACCGCCCTCACATGTCTCCTCCCAGAGCCACGAGTCGGCTCTTCCATCATCCCCCAGCAGAATGGGCCTGGACCAGTCCTGCACCTCCCACTCCTCAGAGTCCTCAGGTGTCCCGGAGACAGCCAGGAATCTGCCTACATCTCCCAGCAGCCTCGTCATCAAAGAGGAGCCGTGTGATATCGACACGGTGTTAATCAAGTGGGAGATGAGTGAAGAGAGATTCGGGGAGCATCAGGAGAGCTCAGGCAGTCCATGTCAGGACAATGAGAGCCCCACCACAAAAAGTAATGTCCTTTTTTTTAATTACACATGAATATTCACAAACATTACAGGGACAGAATTATCTGTCATTGTTTTATGTTGCACAGATGGCTTGTTTTGTAACACTCAGGCTGGATATTGAACCTTAAAACTAACAGGTATCAAAATTTTGGCATCATAACGCTTTGTAATATTCTTCAGCTGATTTATTTTTCATTGATGAGATATCTCTTGAATTCAATTTCGCTCATTTTAAAAAGGGGAAGTTCTTGGCTATTTTGTTCTGAGTCCGCACTGATCACTGTTACTATGATCCCTTCAGAAAAACTGGAGAACAGAGAGGGCAGAAAGTGCAGGGAGAAACCTCACGCAGACCCAGGTGGACACAATGACCCTCCTGGAGAAAACCAGAGGTGAGTTATTTCATAGACATAAATGTGCCAAATGAATGCTCGCAGTTACCTCTTTAGGGCAGCTCCTTCTTTAAAAAAAATGGAAAGGAAATTCACCCAAATTCTCAGCATTTATGTTTTCTATGGATAATTAACTAAATGTAGAAAATGTGATGTTATGTTGAGACATTTTCTCCATTGAAAAATGTTTCCACCATATGAAACATTAATTGTTGGCAGTTTGGGGTTTTTAATATTTTAGGGCTTCTTTTTGACTTTGAACAATCAGCAGGCATCATTTTTTATGTGTCAATTATACTATGTCATTTTCATGAAATCTATGTATATATGGTATGCTATAAAAATGCATTAAAAATGTCACAGTATAGTATGTATAAAAAATTAAAAAAAAAACAAACAAACATGATATAAGATGTCATAAAAACACCATAGTATGCTGGTGTTTTTATGACATCCTGTATCATGTTTGTTTTTTATTTTTTCTTTCTAATGACATTTTTATGACATACTATACTATTTAAAAAAAAATGTAATTTTTTTGGCATGCTACACTATGTAATTTTCATTAAATTCATGACATACTATATTAGGATTTTTGTTTCAGGACATACTAGACTATGACTTTTTATGATTTTTTTATGGCATACTATACAGTACCATGACTTTTTAATGACAATTTTATGACATTCTAATACATTTGTATTAATTCTTTATGGCATGCTATACAATGAAACTTTTGTAAAATCTACGGCATACTATGACATTTTTATGATATACTATGAATTATTCTAAATATACTATACTATTTTTTTTATGGCATGCTGTACCATCCATGACTTTTATAACATTTTTGTATTATGGCATACTATCATCTGACATTTTTATGACATTATTTCATTATTTTTTTGCATACTAAACAGTACTATGACCCTTTAATGACATTTTTATGAGATAGAGTATGCCAAAAGTTTTATAGTGTACTATTATGACATTTTTGTGACTTTTTTTTTAAACATACATGAAATTTATGGCATACTATATCATGTTATGTCATCTTTTTTATATGTATATAATTTTGGACACACTCAACAATGACATTTTTTATTTTTCATGTCATACTTTTGTTATTTTGCATGACATGCTATCCTGTGACATATTGTACTCAATATGGCGTTTTTGAATGACATACTATTTCATTATTATTTTTGACATACTATACTATTACATTTTTTATTGTTAATAAACACAAGACTATGGCATACTGTACAGTTATTACTTTTACTGTGTTTTTGTGACATTTATGACAATTTTTTAATATTTTTTATGTTATACTATATTACAACATTTTTTATTAGATTTATTATGACTTTTTTGACATACTAAACTATGTATTTTTATTAAAAACAAATTGGCATAGTATACTTTGGTGTTTTTATGACATCTTGATTTTTTGACACAATACTGTGAGTTTTTATTGCATTTTTGTGATTTTTGCATGGCAGAATGCAGTATGTAATTTTTTAATCAAATTTGTGACATGATATACTATGACTTTTGAATGACATTATTCTGACAAAGTATACTATGAAAACTTTATGAATTTTTTTATGGAATGCTATTCTATGACTTTACTTTGTTTTATTTTTTTTAAATTTTATCAAACTTCATCTACTTCATCCTAAAATCTGACATTTTTATGACATTATTATTTCATCACATTTTTATGGCATAATAAACAGTACTATAACTTTTTAATGATGTTTTTATGACATACTAAATTGTATGGAATAAATTATTATGGAATGCTATGCTATGACTTTTTTTTTTTTTTTAATACATACTATACAGTGCTATGACATGCCATACTATTAAATTTTCCACAATTTTGTCTGTACTTTCACATGTTATATCACATGTTTGTTAAATTTAATGGCATATTATGCTCTGGCATTTTAAATGACATACTTTTTTATGTTTTTTGGCCATACTGTACTATGTAGTATGAAATTTTATGGCATAGTATGGTATGTTTTCCCACAGACTATACTGTAACTTTTGTTTGAGTTTATGTATTTTCATGCCATGTTATACTGTGACTTTAAACCTTGCCTTGCAATACGAAATCCATTTGTCAATTAATGTCGTAGACTTTATTAAGAATAAATTGTGGTATTTGCCCAAGTGTTAAAGCCCTAAAAGCAAAAGCTAGATTTAAATGCTTGGTGACCTTCATACATACTCATCTGTGTGATCCTGTCTTGCTTCTCAACCCCCAGGAACAAGAAGAAGGGTGTGCCGATGTCCGAGCTGACAGAGGAGGCTCAGAGACTGAAGAGGGCAGCCTGGAGAGCAGCTTCGAGGCGGTACTACGCCCGAAAAATAGCCCGCCAACAGGCAAACCCCTCACGCTCTGCCCCCTTCTCCTCACGCTCTGTCCCCTTCCCCTCACGATCAGGCCCCTTCCCCCACATTACAGACTCCCGGTTTTCACAACCCATCTCCTTTATGGATAAGACAAGGAGGACACTGATATCTGAGTTACCTGAGGAGTCTCAGTCGCTGCAGAGGGAGGCTTGGAGAGCTGCATCCAGAAGGTACTATGCTCGAAAAACTGCTCGCCCTCAGACTGAACCCACACAGTACGCACACCTGCTCCAGAACATTGAGCCGTCTGGAGAAACACTGGGACCCAACAGAGGAGGATCCCACACCAACAGTGGAGGAATAATGTGCAGCTGATAAATAGCAGTACTGTTGATGAGGTTTTCTATTCTGCATATAGAAAATTTTTCTTTGCGTTATGAAGAACACTGGATCATGTGGATGTTTACTTGTTTTTGGTTGAATGATGTTGCAATTTATCCTGGTCCGAATAGTTTGAACCAAATATTTTAAATCAGTTGTGTTTGGTCATTATGCAACTAATTCTGCTGCATTCATATCACTTTAGTTTTATTCTTTTTCTTTATTACCCTTTCTAGTATACTGCATTGCATGCCTGTAAAAAACGCTAACTGCAACTGAAGATAAAGATTAAATAATCGTATTCTGAGGCAATATGAAGATATTGTACAATAGTACTGATGTAACAGCCACTGCATCAAGACAGCGGCCCCTCGAGTCCAACGCGTGTAACTACAATCAAGGCATCCATAAAGGTCAAAGTATGAGCTCAACATTTCTGTGTAAATGACAAATGAAGAATAACAGTTCAGTTTTTACCAGTAAACTTAAAATTTATTTTTTGGTCTTTTCTGGAACATCGTAAGTAATAAAGAAAATTGAAATACTATTGTGGTATTGTCTTTCTGTTAGAATGAAAAACTTTCTATGTTGTACTATATTGTGACTTTTTATGGTTGAGTATGCTGTGATGTTTTTTGCAATTTTCATGGTGTACAATACTATGACTTTTTTCATGAAATTCATGGCATGCTACACTGTACCATACAGTTTTGATCGACATACTATACTGACTTTTTTATGCAGTTTTGATCGACGTACTATACTATGATGTTTTTATGCAGTTTTGATCGACATACTATACTATGACGTTTTGATGGAATTTTGATCGACATCCTATACTATGACTTTTTCATGCAGTTTAGAACGACATACTACACTATGACGTTTTGATGCAATTTTGATCAACATACGATACTATGACTTTTTTATGCAGTTTTGAAAGACATACTATACTATACTATGACTATTTTTAAACAGTTTTGGACGACATACTATACTATGACTTTTTTGATGCAGTTTTGGACTCCATACTATACTATTACATTTTTAAGCAGTTTTGATCGACATACTATATACTATGACTTTTTTATGCAGTTTCGAACGACATACTATACTATGACATTTTGATGCAATTTTGATCAACATACTATACTATGACTTTTTTATGCAGTTTTGAAAGACATACTATACTATACTATGACTATTTTTAAACAGTTTTGGACGACATACTATACTCTGACTTTTTTAATGCAGTTTTGGACGCCATACTATACTATGTCTTTTTTATGCAATTTTGATCGACATACTTTACTATGACTTTTTTATGCAGATTTGGACGCCATACTATACTATGACTTTTTTATGCAGTTTTGGACGCCATACTATACTATGACTTTTTTTATGCAGTTTTGAACGTCATACTATGCTATGACTTTTTTATGCTGATTTGGACGTCATACTATACTATGACTTTTTTATGCAGTTTTGGATGCCATACTTTACTATGACTTTTTTATGCAGATTTGGACGCCATACTGTACTATGACTTTTTTTATGCAGTTTTGGACGACATACTATACTATGACTTTTTTATGCAGATTTGGACGCCATACTATACTATGACTTTTTTATGCAGATTTGGACGCCATACTATACTATGACTTTTTTTATGCAGTTTTGGACTCCATACTATACTATGACGTTTTGATGCAATTTTGATGAACATACTATACTACAACGATTTTTATGCAGTTTTGGATGACATATGATACTATGATTATTTTTATGCAGTTTCGAACAACAAACTATGTCATGACGTTTTGATGCAATTTTGATCGACATACTATACTATGAATTTTTTATGCAGTTTTGGACGACATACTATACTATGACGTTTTGATGCAATTTTGATGAACATACTATAGTATGACTTTTTTATGCAGTTTTGAACAACATACTATACTATGACTATTTTTATGCAGTTTTTATCGACATACCACACTATGACTTTTTTATGCAATTTTGATCGACATACTATACTATGACTTTTTTATGCAGTTTTGGACTCCATACTACAATGTGACATTTTGATGGAATTTTGATGCACATACTATACTATGACTATTTTTATGCAGTTTTGGATGACATACGATACTAAGACTTTTTTATGCAGTTTGGAACGACATACTATACCATGACGTTTTGATGCAATTTTGTCGACATACTATACTGACTTTTTTATGCAGTTTTGAATGACAAACTATACTATGACTATTTTTATGCAGTTTTTATCGACATACCACACTATGACTTTTTTATGCAATTTTGATCGACATACTATACTATGACTTTTTTATGCAGT